TATATATATATACTGTCTGAAAAGAAAATACTCAACAGTCGATTGAAAATTTCTTTCAATAATGACCTCTTCGCTGGCTACTAGACAAGGACTTCTCACCCGTGCTCACAAACGGCTATCCGCGATTTTGGACGAACACACACAGCTCTTCGCCACGCGACTGGACCTGAGCGAACCGAGGGATGCCAAGGAGCTGCACAGGAGGATTAGAGCGACCAAGGCCACATTGTCAATGGAAGTCGGTAAAGTCGAGGACGCTCTAATCAAGTACAGCAGTACTGTGGATGAACTGCCCGTCAGCACGCCATCAAAGGAGGAGTTCCTGAAGCGAGCAGAGGCGAACATCAACACTGTTGAAGAGGTTTTGGATCGAGCCCATACTGCGCTGACGAAGCTGTTACAGCTGCAGGAAGAGCTGGAATGTCAGATACAAGCCCAAACGACACCTTCGGAAGTTGCGGAAATGAAACTTGCGCCGATCCCGCTTCCCAGGTTCAGAGGCGACATCTGGGAATGGGACACATTTTGGAGATCTTTCGACCATAATGTGCACTCGAAAAATGTGGACGACATCTACAAGTTCAACTACCTCCTCGAAACCCTTGAAGGCGAGGCGAAAGAGACCGTAAAGCAATTCCAAGTTTCAGGATCCACATATTCTCTTGTCATCGCCCATTTACAGGAGAAGTATGGCAACGCACAAGCACTCGTCGATCAACTGGTGAGCAGGCTCCAAGCATCGCAGGCCAGGAGTGACAGCTTAGCCGATCAAATAGCGTTGTGCGACCAGCTCTCTTCTATCACCTCGCAGCTGGAACTGAAAGGAGAGCACATCAGCAAGGCTTTCCTGCAGAAACAATCACTGAGCAAGTTCTCCACGGAAGTCCAACGACACGTTTTACGGCAGAAGTGCAGAAAAGAAGCAGAGGGATCTTGGAGTACCAAGGTCCTACTAGCAGATGCAAAGGAATACGTCGAAAGTGAGCTCAAAATCAACGCCCAACTTGAACAGAGGAAGCCAAACCACACCGACAGGCAGGAGAGATCCAGTACGAAGTTCAGAATGGAAACAAGACAAACAACGCGAGCACCAGCACCGACTTGCTTTTACTGCAACAAACCTGGACACCCAGCGAAAAGTTGTCCTGAAGTGACCACGCTCAGTCAACGCCTTCAGATTATAAGGACCAGAAAACTTTGCAAAAATTGTGGAGGGGAGAATCACCTCGCAATGAGATGTCCCAGAGGAGCCTGCCGCGCCTGCGGAGTAACTGGACATCATACTTCCATCTGCACCAAACTATTCTCGACGGAGACACCTAGGACGCCCCAACAAGACAAAGCAACCAAGAAGATACCAGCCAGATCTCCATCACAGCCTACGGCTGCAAAGATGAATACAGTCACGTCCGACCAAGGACTTCTAGAAGCCGAAGAAATGGATACTGTGCTCCATGTCAGCAATCGAGCGGACGTTCTCATTCTGGCAGGACAGGCACAGGTCCTCAATCCGGAAACGAAAAGGCTAGAGAAGGTGCACGTCATGCTTGATTCAGGAGCTGATCGCTCATTCATAAGCAATGCTCTGGCCGAGAGATTACACCTACATGACGTCGATTCCAAACGACTCACAATAAACACGTTCGGTTCACACAAGGCAATGGTGAAAACGTGTGGAGTTACAATTCTACAGATATGGGACGCACAAGGAACCCCTCACTCATTCGCGGTGACAAGGATCGACACAGTCACAGAGTCCATACAGCGCAGTAGCCTCAGTCTGGAGGACAAGCGGTTTCTCTGTGATAAGGATCTGGAACTGTCGATAAGCGCAACTTCAACTAGCATCAATCCACAGATTCTTCTTGGATGCGCGGACATGTTCACACTTCTAAGCAATGGGCTAGCACCGCTGTACGTACTTCCTTCTGGGTTGCAGTTGATCCCTTCGAGATTGGGATATCTGGTTGCAGGACGCAACCACAGCTTCACAGAAACAAACAAGGAACGAGCGACGGTAAATTCTGCAACAGTCACAGACAAAGACGATTCGCAATCGTGGGAAGACTTTTGTACATTCGAATCGACAGGGGTGGATGAGTTTGTCGGGCCGAAGGCCGAGGAACGCCAACGGACAGATGAGGCCGTCTGGAAGACGTTTGAGCAGCAGAGAAAGAAAAG